TGGTATATCGTTCATGGGCCCATAAACTGCCTTGACTGTCATGTGAGATAAGAATAAATTTTATTGTGTTAAGCCACTAAGATATTTTGATGTTACCGTAGTTAGACTACTCTGAATAATATGGAGTAAGAGGAGTGGAAATGAAAAAAAAAATGTATATAATTCTCAGACAATATTTCCTTTCTTTCATGGGACAACACCTTTTCCCAACTTGAATCCCAAAGGTTCTTTGGATACTAATACTCAGGATGATTGTTAGCAAATTATTCACTTGCTGATTTTCCAAGGACTTTTCTAGAGTCCTCAAAACTTGGCAATAACATTTTACAAGAAAAAGTAACATCCAGAGGGAGAGAGTTGCCTAATTAAAATTTCATGATTGAATAGTAGAAGAACAGTGTGTCCTTGCTTGAGTCTGGTACCTCTCTTTATCTCATCATTTTTGGTTGCTTTCATGATAATTATTTTTTTTTCCTTTTGTATCTAATTTAAGAATTACAAGTAAAAGAATTTTGGTGGTACTCTGGTAGAGCTAAATCACTTATCTTGGAGAGTTTATACTACCAAAAATATGTCAGGTTATAAGGAGTTAAGAAACAACCTTGAACAACAATAATGACTGTGAGCACATAGAGTTTATGGGTATATATATTTTATATTCTTATGAGAGGATATTATGACCAAGGTTATACAGAGTCATATTGTCATCAGATAAGAACTCAGTTGAATCAATTTTGTTCATATTGTTGGCAAGTATAGTAATTTTTAAATGAAAAAGGCCAAAGAAACATTTACCTCATCATAAAGGGATGAGGAAAATAAAAAGTTAACATTTGCTGAGCATCTAATATCTGCCAAATATTGTGGAAAATATATGATTTCATAAATCCTTACCATGTGGCAAGTAACACAATCATTTTAATGAGTAGAAAATAAGCTCAGACCAACTGTTACTTACCCAAGGCTACATCGCTAATAAGCAGCAGTACTGCGATGCAGACAAAATGTATTTACTGAGTCAATATTCATTTCACTCTCTCCATGGCAGCCCCAAGTTTAAGTGTTAGAATTAAATGAAATAACTATGTCTAAACCTATGATACTCAGATAAAAGTTCTATTTCTTGTATTATAAATGAACATCAAAGTATTATCTCCCCTCTAGCATGGCTTATGTAATGGCTGAGTTTGAATTTGGTGTTAAGAATCCAAGGAAAGGAGGCTGGGGGCACCTGGGTGACTCGGTGGGTGAAACTTCCAACTCTTGGTTTCAGCTCAGGGCATGATCTCATGGTTCATGAGTTTGAGCCCTCATCTGACTCTGCACTGACAGTGTAGAGCCTGCTTGAGATTCTCTCTCTACCCATTCCCTACTCACAATGTCTCTGTAACTTTCAAAAATAAATAAATAAACTTGAAATAATTAAAAATAAAAGAATCCAAGGAAAGGAGGAGAGGGAGAAAGGATACTGATCTAACAGCGAAAAGTAATAGAATCTCAAGAAAAAAAAAATCCCAGGACTATAGTCTACTAAACCACTTTAATTATTTCATGACTTTGAAGTCATGTAATGTAGCACATTTTTATTTTGTTGGGACTAGAAGACAGATTTGGGTTGTGTTCCTTGAGGCTATTGTGCATAAGCAAGTCACTTTTGGTGGACCTCTTAACCACTCAGCACCTAAATCTAACCCTTGGCTTTGCTCTCTATTGCATTCATGCTAACTGCCATCAATGACTAAGGAGATTTTTTTAATATTTTCCCTATATTTTATTATTTTTAATTGAGGTATAATTGACATATAACAATATATTAGTTTCTGGTGTTAAAAGTGATTTGATATCTGTATGGTGAAATTATCACCACAATAAGTCTAGCTAGCAATTAAAATTAATAGTTTAAATTTATTCTAGTGTGTTTTATTGGAAGAAGTAGAGGATAGTCATTTAAAAGCAGATTCTGTGGCCATTTTACTTGAGGTCAAATTCCAACTCCAATATTTACTACCTGTGTTATTTAATAAAATATGTATTTAATATCTCTCTTCTTCAGTTTCCTCATCTGAAAGATAAGGATAATAATAATTCTAAAATCATAGTGTCCTATAATGATCAGATCAGTTTGTTTATGGAATAGCATTAGGTACTATTATGGAACAAAACATATACTATCATTGTTTTCATCTATTAAATGAACCACAATGTCAATTTGGTCTTGAATAGGGGAATAATATTATGTTATGAAAACTTTAGGGGCTACAAAATGCAAAATATATAATAAAGTCTTTTTGTTTTCTTTTCAATCAGTAGCAGAAAATACCAAATCATTTCATAGATTGTCTCTGAAAAAACAAAATAGGTCTATAAACCAGGTCTGGTTTTCTTAAACCAGATCCCTATGTACTTGAACTACTACCCATCAGCAGTAGCATCTCATCTCTTGTGTTAATCAAAAGAGAAAGAAGGGGGGAGGGGTAGATGACATAAACAGGATGAGGATGGGGAAGGAATGGGAGTAAAAAATGGCTGAAAGGTTTATGTTGCACCGACAGATCAGGTTTCAAAGGTATTATCCCTTTCACTTGCTTAAAATACTTTTCCATGGCATCCACATTGGATTATGGCAACAGTTACCATTATACCTTCTCACCTATAGTTTAAGAATTATTTGGCAGACTCCCTTCTCTGGGGCTTGATCTGCTCTCCTTTTGGAAGAAATAGATTATTATCGCAACCAGTATTTATCAAAGATTTCTGGCCTCCAATTCCCTTAAAATATTTCTGAAGTTTATTCCACCCTCCTCTGGGCATCTTTCTCTACAGGATCCAAACTCAATGATTTAAGACACAATTTGCTGACAGGAGATCCTGAGAACCCATTATGAAAATGAAGGCAGCAAACAACCTTTGAATGTATTTCCCAATTTAAAAAAGCCTTCATTACGTAGCACATTTCAGGCTGGAATGTTAAAAATTTATCATAGTTTCGGTAATTGCAGCTTCCTCTGGAAGCTTGGCATGATGTGGAATCATTTGTAAAATGTGTATTTTTTTGGACCCTCAGTAGGAAGTTTGCCAGGCAATACATTTAATTAGGAACATGAAGAAGAGAATAATTGTGGTCTGTCATAATGTATTACTTTTAAATTCTACATGTGTTTAAGATAGTGGTCTCATAACAACGCATGAATTTAAAGCTGAAGGCAATTTGCCTTTCATCAGTTCCAGGTTTTTATATAGGGAAATATATTATTTTGATGGGAAGAGTACATTAGTTACATTCCTTAGATGTAACTCTTGGACCATTGTTTTAGCTACAAGAGTGTTAGCTGCTCTGCTTAGAAACAACCTTTGTCCATTTTAAGACCTTGAAAATTGATACATTGCCTTGCAAGCTTAGACAGCTTTACCAAAGTTTAACTTCCTCTAGAGATGCATAGAAATAATGGAAACACATTGCCTTTTCTGAACATAACCATGTATATAACATCTAGTTCTGCCTGATGCATTAAGTAAATTTGATAAGAGCAACTCGAGTTTTGTAATAATTAATGTCAATTTAAAAAAAAATACAAAGGAACCTATGTCAGCATATTCAAGGAGGAGAGGTATGGTGATAGCCATGTACTGAGGTCAGGTTTTCATTGTGTGAAACATGCAGTTCCATTTTTTCAGGAAAGCTTGCTTATCATAAATTTTAGAGGCGTCATGAAAAAATGCAACAGAAAGGCCGTTTTGGTATACAGGGCGCAAGCGTTGTGGTATTCAGGTTGTTAAGTACAGAATACTCTCATCATTTACCTTTACATGAATCTCCTCTGCCTTTTATTACTACAGTGACAGTCTCCTTAGTGAACAGAGATTTCCCTTTCATAATAAATTTTATTAGATTTCACATTAGGGCGTCCTCTCTCAGGATCACTCCAAGGTGTAAATGAGACAGGGACAGAGATTATTTTCATTCCCCTTCTAACCACTGTATTTTGGCGTCTCAGAATCTTCTTTTTCTCACCCTAATTAGCTTAGTCTTCCCTCCTATATCCCTCAGTCTTTCTCTGCACTCTTTGAAGCATCAAAACATTACTTTAGAAAGTGATTCCTTCAGGGCTCCATTCTGAGCTAGGGACGAGGAACAGAAACCAAATTAGAACGGTCTGCGTGTTGACAGTCAGTAGAGGATAAGGAATTGGATGTAAGGAACAAAGCTGTTGGGGTGTATGGAACAGTTACATTCATGTAGGTGGCATTGTTTTTTGAGAAATTCTCAAAAAGTGTAAGGAGTACACTTCTTTCTTCTTATCTAACTTGTAAAACCAATAAACAAACCCAGCTTTTATTCTATGTCATTAGGAACCAGAATTAAAGTAACAACCACAATAATAATTTGTATTGTTGAATGCTTATTTTCCTTAAAGCCATGTTCTGAGCACTTTTTAGACATTAGCTCATGCAATCCTTAGAATGGCTCTACATGGTACACACTACTCTTACCACCAAGGAACCCTGGGCACAGAGTGGCTGTTTATCTTGCTTGACTAATAAAAACAGTGAAAAATGGTCTGTTTTGGGACTCCAGATTCATACCCAATTGCTATTGTATTACAATTAATGAATTGTGGAAAAGATATAATGTGGTAAAAATGAAATGCAATTAACTGAAAGACTGTTAAAAAAGGATTATAAAGAGAAAGATAAAAATGTAGACTTGGTGATGAAAGCACAATGTTGAAATAGATATATATAGTGTATAAGCAGGTCTCAATCTCAATGCTGAGGTTTACTCTAAAAAATACTTCGTAATGAAGATCAAATGGAGTCCAGTATTGGCAATACTTCCTGAGTCTCAACATAATGGGACTTCTTTTGTGCCTCTCTAACATTGAAGTACGTAAAGCAAATGACCAATACTCTGGGGTGTAAATCTCACATGCATGTGTATGTGTTCGTATTTGTATTTTAGCATGATTCGCTGAAATTAATATGCATTATTTTGCTTTAAGGGGCAAAGGACCACTAAAGCATACAACTGATGTGATTTATGCCGCTAAAATGATATCAGAATCAGGATCAAGGATGGATGTCCTTGCTCGACAGATTGCTAACCAGGTGAGTTCTCTACAAATGGACATGACAAAAGTCCATGCTAATTGCTCTCTACCATGAGACACCAATGAAAACAAAGCTGGATTTTTACTTTATTAGATTGATTTTCTATAAATTATTATTTCAAAATCTTATTTGATAATTAATACACAAGTACTGGGCAATTGATTCGAAGGAAAGTTATTTCTTAGGGCATTATTATTATTGTTATTGCTCTTATTATTAGTTAGTGCTTTATTGTTTCTTAGATTTTTGAGCTTCAAATATATTCAAATTACTTAAAACACCAGCTTTTTGAGTTTCAAATATATTCAAATTATTTTCATAGGCTGTAATACTCAATATCGGTATTTTTTTATTACTACCTTAGATTTGTTATTTTTGCTCTTCAAAAATCAATCTTTTCTTGAATTGTATTATGTTAGGTTTTCAATGTTAAAATTAGATTCTGATATTCTGTGTAAAAATGTAAGACAAGTACTAATTGGTAGAATACTAAAGTGAAGATATAAAATGTGGAAAGTGTATATGACTTATGGAGATAGATGCTAAAAGTTTTTAAATACTTAGTTTCCTTCTTTTTTTTGTTTGGTTTATGTTTTAAATATTTTTAATTGAAGTATAGTTGATGTATAGCATTTGTTTCAAGTGTACAACATAGTGATACATCACAAAATGCTCACATGATAACTATTGTTGATATCTGTCCCTGTACAAGATTATTACAATATTATTGATGATATTCTCTATGCTGTCCTTTTCATCCCTGTGATTTATTTATTTTATAACTGGAAGTTTGTACCTCTTAGCCCCCTTCACCTACTTCACTCTCTCCCCTAATAGCCTTCCCTCTGGCAACCACCAGATCATTCTTTGTTTTGTTTTCTGTTTTAATTCTTAAACTGTTTTAAAATTGTATTTATTTTATTTTTATTTGAAATATAATTAACATATAGGATTATATTAGTTTCAGGTGTATGACATAATTGTTCAACGATTCCATACATTAGTCAGTTCCTTTTTTTAGATTTCTCATGTCTCCGTTACAAGTTTCTAAGCAGCAGGGCCGCCTGTGTGGCTCAGTTGGTTAAACGCCTAACTATTAGTTTTGGCTCAGCTCAGGATATTGGGGGTTCCTGAGTTCAAGCCCCTCATTGGGTTCTGTGCTGACAGTGTGGACCTTGCTTGGGATCCTCTCTCCCTCTCTCTGCCCCTTTCTGGGGCAGACATGCTGCCTCTGTGACTCTCAAAAGTAAATAAATAAGTCTAAAAAATAATTTTCTAAGCAGGACCTATATTATTAATTACCTTTTGCCAAACTTCAATAGAAAAATCTATCAACTTCTTTAGTTAATACAGTGAGAAATCCAGTTAATATTTCAAACTGATATGTAGTATTACTTTGTAGGTTTTGTATTACTTACCTTCATAATATTTATTTCCCTCTGGGGAAAAAAAAGCATTTTTCCTTTTGACTTTGCAACTATTCCACATTATTTCTTGCCTATATACTTTGAGGGAAACTTTATTGGGCTGCTTCTTATTACTTAGTCTTTTTATTCTCTGCTTTTTGAAATACAATCAGCCAAAGCATATTGTTAGATATTTCTAGATATAAGGGAAGAGAAACAAATAAAGAATACTAACAGAGACAAATATTGTTAAACATTTATCGAATATACATGTATTGTCAATATCTTGCTATGTTAAGGATTCTAAACATTCTATGAATCCATTTAGTATTTACAGTTAAAAACAAACTTTATCCTAATATAATTCAAAATACAGCATGAATAAATGATTGAAGCCCAAATCCAAACATAGTTTTCTGTATTTTAGAATTTTATTGCATTCATTTTATGAGAGAGACCGAATAGTAGTATAGGTGAAACATAAGGAATTAGACAGATTTATGTGTGATGGTAACTTTTTAAAGATTTAATGATTACTGCCAGTGTGCCTCTGTTTCTTTTGGAATGCAAAGTTTTCAAAGTTCAAATAGTTGTGTCACTTGGAATTTTCTTTTTCTTGTATTGATCTTTTTTTTTTTAAATTGCATCAGAATCACCTCTCTGTAGGTACTTTTATAATATAGTTTTATTACATTATACCATTGTTTTTTTATTCAAGTTAAATGGAAGAAAGTAAAAGTATTGTCTTGCTTCCCACAGCTTTTACATTTTAAACGAAGATTAAAGGAATAGTCATTGAATAATGAAGAATTACAGATGACCCTCTTTGGCTTTTTCCACTTCATATAGGAGAGTAGTTTCAAATTAATTACTTTTGTTCTGAACAAATAGGGTTATGAAGAATCAAAATTGAGAATTATGAACCTGATTCTTATTATAGGGATCATCTGGGGAGATTGTCTATGACTGTGCTTCTGATGTTGTTTGATAGATTAACAAAAAAAAATTTAGACAGAAAATAATATCTGAAATTTATTGTGGAATTCATATGAATAACGTAAGCAAAACAATATTCGGTGTCTGTGTATTATGAAAAATATCTGTTGGAACATAGGTTATTTTCTATTTTGAACAACCTAATTAGTTCTAAATTTTTAAAATATTTTTTATGGTTCTTTCTAGTCTATTTACTACTAGAGTGTCAGAAGATCAAACATCAATCAATTTTCAATTCCACCCAACATAGACATATATATCATAAAAGTCCATATAATATATATATATGGTGTTAAAGCAATTTAGAGTCATTCTCTAAGGTTTCAGAGTCAAAGGTCATATGCAAAGAGAAAGAAATGAAATCACATTAATTAAGGTTTCTAATTGTATCTACTTGCACTTTCCTTTTCCTTTTTTTTTATTGTTTTATTTATTTCTGAGAGAAAGAGAGAGAGAGAGAGAGTGAGAGACAGCATGAGCAGGGGAGGGTCAGAGAGAGATGGAGATACAGAATTGGAAGCAGGCTCCAGGTTTCTGAGCTAGCTGTCAGCACAGCGCCCGACGCAAGGCTCAAACCCAACAACCGTGAGATCATGACCTGAGCAGAAGTCGGATGCTTAACTGCTAAGCCACCCAGGCACCCCTCTTTTCCCTTTTTTTTTTTTTTACCCTTCTTTTTGTCTTGCCTCCTTGAACATATATTTATTGTGTGTAGCCAAATACAATTTACTACTCTGGCTCTACCCTAATTTTCTGTTTTAACATCCAGAACTCCAATGTAAGCTCATTTGTCCCAAATTGGCCAACATCTCTTGGGCCAATTGGAAGTATCTCCCTGGTGTGGTAGGTTATATAAGCCATTCAAGACTGTGTTGCTTAACTTCTGTAGAATTCTGGTACGAATTCTATCTCCATTAGGCAATATATTCCTAAAGGATGGAATGTTGTTAGCTATCACAATTCTTTTAACATTTATTTTTTAAATGTTTATTCATATTGAGACAGAGAGAGAGAGAGAGGGAATGAGTTGGGGAGGGGCATAGAGAGAGGGAGACAGAATCTGAAGCAGGCTCTAGGCTCTGGGCTGTCAACACAGAGCCTGATGTGGGGCTGGAACTCACAAACTGTGAGATCATGACCTGAGCTGAAGTCAGATGCTCAACTTACTGAGTCACCCAGCACCCCACTCCCACAATTCTTAAACATGTTCCTCATGAATAAAGAGAATAACAAGCTAGAGAACTACCCTTCTTACAAAGCCAAAATTCCAGACTCTTAGTACACATCTCTTTAAAATCCTCAGTTCTACACTGTAATTTATCATGTTAAGCAGGTATTCAAAATTAGATGAATTGGGTAACACCTCACAAGGTAGGAAAAATACACAGATCTCAATTAGTTAGAGAAACTATATATTCCAAATAGGAAAGAGATGAACAGGAACCGAAATAAAATAAATATCTACTAAAGCATTTTGCCCAAGAAGAGGACAAAATTAGACTTTCTTACCTCTGAGTGCTGTGTCTGAAGCCTAATGCTCCTTCACTGTAATTTTGCCAAAGTGAAGATATCCATAGTATCTGCTGGGTACTTCCACCTAATTATACCTGAACACAATTAAAATGAAATATTAATGTTAAATATAATCAAAACCAATGCCAATTCAAGACAAGATGACACTTAAAAAACAAGATAAAGAATTATAGCCAAATATACACAATGCATTTAACTATGAACAATTGACAAGTATAATTTATACTGATATTTTGACAAAATATTGTCAGTGGCTAGACTCATTTGAATTATTTCTCTGATGATGTTATGAGAGTCAAAAATATATTCTAATAAAAATATACTAAAAAGAAACTTCTGAAGCATTCACTATGCCATTCTAACTTGTCCCTTAAGAATATAATTTCTAGATGCATTTGTGATAATATTTGTATTTTGATGCTATTATCTACCTGAAATTTATTTTGAACAGAGATACTCATACTAGCATTGTTTTCCAGATTAATGAACTTTATAAAAATAAGTGCACAACAGGGGCGCCTGGGTGGCTTAGTCGGTTAAGCGTCCGACTTTCGCTTAGGTCATGATCTCGCGGTTCCTGTGTTCGAGCCCCGCGTCAGGCTCTGTGCTGACTGCCAGCTCAGAGCCTGGAGCCTGTTTCAGTCTGTGACTCCCTCTCTCTCTGACCCTCCCCTGCTTACGCGGTCTCTCTCTCTCTCTCCTAGAAATAAATAAAAATTAAAAAAAAAAAATAAGTGCATAACAGTTTCTTGGGAATCTAATAGGAATAGATAGATACTAAAGTAGTATATTATGTTTGCATCTTTTTATTGAAGTATAGTTGACGCACAACATTACATTAATTTCAGATGTACAACATAGTGATTTGACAACTCTATATGTATGCTGTGCTCACTACAAGTGTAGCTACCATCTGTCACTATACAATGCTATTATAATACCATTAACTATATTTCGTATGCCTTTGTTTCCCTTCTATGCCATAACTGGACGCTGGTATCTCCCACTCCCCTTAAGCCATTTTGCCTGTCCCTCAACCCCCATCCCTCTGGCAACCATCAG